GTGATATATTGTTTATGATCTAATAAAGCTTGCCTGGAGATCAGACTGCAAAGCTAGCCACAGCCATAGAAGCTGGACAATGGTGGCACACACCTTTAATCCCAGGACTCAGGAGACAGAGGTCTCTCTGAGTTCAAGACCACCCTTGGCTACATGAGAGTGAATCAGTCTAAAAGAGAAACAGAACTCACGCCATTAATCCCAGCACTAGACAGAATATAAAGAGCTCAGTGCCGCCTCAGGAGCAGCTGAGATTTGGTGGGGGAGCAGTGAAGTCTGGAGATGCAGTCTGAGGTTCAGTGGATCGCCCCTTCGGTCTGAGCATTGGTAGAGGTGAGAGCTCTTTGGTGACTTGGCTGCTTTGCTTCTCTGATCTTCAGCTTGAACCCCAATATCTGTTTCTGGATTTTTATTATTTGTGAGACACCATATGTATATGTAAAAAGGGGGAGGGCAGTTTTGAAGAGACAGCTCCGCTAGTAAAATGCTTGCTGTGCGGACTTGAGGACCTGGACTTCAGCCCTAGCCCACATGAAAAAGTCAGGCCTGGTGTGCATGCCGATATTCCCAGTGCTGGGGAAGTGGGTACTAAGAGATCCTTGGGGGTTGCCTATTCCAAGCCAGTGAGAGCTCCTGTGTCACAAATGCCTGAGGATTCACGATAGATAATTAATCCCTTGTCATCTCACACATATATGCACACATACAATCACCAAAATGAACACATACAAAAACAAAACTACAAAAGGGCTGAGGATGTAGCTCCACTGGTAGAGCGCTTGCCTAGCAACCCCCAGCACCACATGAAAAGGGTATAGTGACAAATATCTGTGATCTCAATACTTGGTAGGTAGAAGTTCAAGGTCATTGTTGGGTACATAGCAAGTTAGAGATTAACTTGAGCTACATGAGGTCCTGTGTCACAAGAAAAAAAAAATAAGTTTAGAGATACACTGCCCACATCACTACCCTATGAAGTGACCTGTGACAATAAATTCAGAAACTGCCTTATTGCAAAAGACATGATCATAATAACACCATTCATATTTGTGCCAGAAAAATGATGGCATCCCCAAGCCAGTATAATTTAACCTTGGTCACTTTCTCTGAATGAGAGTGACAGTTTTAAGAAGGTGATGCCATGCCTTTCTACAGAGGAAAACAGATGTGTGTGGGAGAAAGCTTGGCTTACAGGAAGTTGTTTTGTTCCTGATTACTGTTTTGTAGATTTAATCCTATGCTGTTGTCTGTAGAGCCTTTCTTGTGTGATCCACTCCTTTCCCATTAGACACATGCTCTCTGGCCCCTCTTCTCTGTGTACTTCCCCATTCCCTCACGATCCAGAGACTGACTTCATTCTGCAGTTTCCCTGGCCATTGCATGAATACACCTACATTGCACACTGCTTCCTGTGCCCTATATCACTGCCTACTCCAATCATTAATACTTATCTAAAGCTGAGTTCCTACCCTCAATGAAGGCTTGTGCCTGTAATCTCAGCATTTGGGAAGCTGGACACAAAGGATCGCTTTGAGTTTGAGGTCTGCCTGGATTTTATAGCAAGTTCCCTGTTAGTCTGGGCTACAGAGTGAAATCCTGTCTCAAGAATGAAACTGCTGTTTCTGTATACCAGGGATCTCCTTTTACCTCAGGTGAGGGCATCTAATTCTAGGTCAATTGGAACAGCTTGTATCAGCTCAAAGATCCCACTCTGCTGGTTGTCATCTAAAAGTCCTTGTTTCTGTTCCAACTCCTAGCATCCAAGACGGCCTTCAGCCTTGACAGTCTGATCCTCAATAACCCTTTCTTTCCATGGAGTGGTTAGGTGGCTTTACTTCATCCTTCATTACAAAAGCCATGGGCTACATGAGAGTCTGCCTAAAAACAACAACAACAACAATAATAATAAGTAAACACTTTGAAAGAGGATGGGAGCCAGGTGGCAGTGGTGGAACATGCCTTTAATCCCAGCACTTGGGAGACAGAGGCAGGCGGATCTCAGAGTTGGAGACCAGCCTGGTCTATAGAGTGAATTCCAGGACAGCCAAGGCTGTTTGTTACACAGAGAAACCCTGTCTCCAAAAAACCAAACCAAAAAAACAAACAAATAAAAAGAAAGAAAGAAAAGAAAAAGAAAGAGGACCAAAAATGTTTAGCTAATTAAAACATTCATCAGTAAAGGATGAACTAGAAATAAATCTCTTGTTGTTTTCTCCAGCTGGAGGAAGTGAATTTAGGGATGGACACTTACTAAGAATTAGTCTCCTAGGCTCTCTTACCCTAATCCAAAGAATTTGCCTAAACTGGTTGGATGTGAGGGGCAACTTCAAGGCAAATCTCTAGCCTGGGCTTTTTGTTTTAACACCTGTGATTATGGCATTTATGAGGTGAGATCGGATGGTTTCCAGTTTTGTCAGGATGGGGTTAAGTAGCAAGAATCTACCTCAAAAAGAAAGAAAGTTTTAATCCCAAAGGTGTTAGTGAAAAGACCACAACCCAAACCCAAAATCAGCATGGACAAATTAATTAAAACAAGCTTTTTTATTCCTGTACATGGGCTGCCTCTCCCTAAAGCGAGGTTCAAGAGGTTAGCATTGGACTTGGGAAAGATAAGGTTTTTATTGCTCAGGAGTAGGGAACTTCCAAATGGGGGGATTTGCTAGGCAAATAGGTAGGGTTACAGAAGCAGAACATAACAATATAGTCATAACAACAGGTGGTTATAATAACCTTTTGAAACAAACAAGATGGTTCTAGCAACTCTTTGAAACAAAGACATGTCTGCCATTTCCTGGAACAGGCAGTGAATTAAACCTAGTTTTAATGAATGAACCTAGTTCACCTTTACCATAAAATGGCTTTTAAGCCTAAAATGGGGGCAGGCTCATTCATCAAAAGGTTCTTAATTTGAATTTCTCAATTTAACCAGTAGAGGTGGTTTTGGTTTTGTTTGCTTTTGAGACAATGCCATGTAGATTAGGCTCTCAGACTCCTCATCCTCCTGCCTCTGCCTCTGGGGTGCTGGGATTAAAACCCCTCCAAACTCAGGTGTAAGTAACCAATTTTAATGAAGATGAGCCTTTCTGTGGCCAGCCCCTGACAGTTTCCTTTGGGTCCATGTGCACGACAGTGCTTTAGCAAGGGGAGCCTCTCAATTAAACCTCTTGTTTTTACCAACCCTTACCTCTGGCTGACAGGGAAAGCTCTCAGCATGTGTCACAATGCCTGTATTAGAAATTATTAATGTAATATTGCCAGTGCCTGGCATAAAATCTAATAAAATGATGTTGGCAGCAACTGCTGCTGACAGTACTTCTCTCTCTCGGTAACGTATCTCTGTGTAGTTCTGGCTATCCTGGAACTCACACTGTAGACCTGATTGGCCTCAAATTCAGAGATCTGTTTGCCTCTGGCTACTGAATGCTGGGATTAAAGGCATGTGCCACCACTGCCCAGCAATGTTACTACTTTTTCAAAAGATGATTCTTATTTGGTAGCCTTGGCTGGCCTCGAACTCATAAAGAACTTCTTGCCTCTCTCTCCGGAGTGCTGGGATTAGAGTCATGGGCCACCATACCTGACCAGAATCATCTTACTCTTCCTCTTCCACATCTGCATGGTTGTATGCTCACTATTTGTTGAAAGAAAACATAAAATAGTTTATAATGGAGGAGTTGGAGATGTAGTTGAGTAGTAGGGTACTTGGTTAGTATGTGAGAGGTCCTAGAAGGTCCTTTGAAGAAAAAAAAAGTTCATATCTTTCTTTTTTTTTTTTTTTTTTTTTGCTTGACACAGACCTAGCTTAGGCTGTCCTAGAACTTACTATGTAGACCAGGCTGGCTTCAAATTGCATCGATCCTTTTGCGTCATGAGGGGGTCTGGGATGATCAGCTCACTGGCTTTCCTTGTTTCCATAAGCAACGAGGTATTTCCCTAATTCCTTTATTTTAAAAATTTGTACTTTAATATCTTGTACACTTTTTTTTTATCAGAATCTGCCTTTTAGGCCATGCCTAATGATTCCTTTTTCCCTCAGGAAAATAAGCCCATTTTGTCCTTTTCTTTCTTAAAAGGTAGGAAGGGAACTGAAGTTCCTGGTGGTAGTGAGCCATCATGTGGGTGATGGGAACTGAACCCAGGTTCTTTGCCAGAGTAGCAAGTGCTGTTAACCACCGAGTCGCCATACCCGGCTTTTTATGTGGGTGCTGGAGACTTGAACTTACGTCTTTGTCCTTTCTGGGCAATCACTCTACCCAGTGAGCCATCACCCCAGCCCATTTTGTTCTTTTCAAGGCCAAAGATACACAGGCTTCACTTGCTTGATGACCATTGTATTTCATTTACTCAACACAGGCCTCAGATCTCAGGGTTAGCAATGGTGGCCATATTTTCTGAGCGCCAAACACATGAATTTCCTGGACCGAGTTCTATCTGTCCCTGACTTGCTCTTGGGGGAGAAAAGGTTCTTCAGAAATGAGAAGCAATAGCTTATGAGGACTGAAATCTTGCGTTGGTGTTTAGGCTGTTTCCACATGCACACTGGACTCAGAGTCCCTGGACCTCAGTCCTCCCGCACACGCCTGACGTATGAAACTTGGCGTCCAGTTCTCCAAAATCACAGTTAGGGAGGCCCAAGGACCCCGCGCTCCTTGTTTTCCCCGTGTTTGGAATACAGACGAAGCACTAGTCGCCATCTTGCTATCAAATGCCAGGCAAGCAGCCACTGGCGTCGTTCGGTAACCACGGCGACACTCTGGCTTCGCCTTTTCAAAAGCTGGAAAACTACAATTCCCGTCAGCCGACTTCCCGTCCTGGCTCCCGAGTGCTCTAGCTTTGGCAGGCACACAGCCACGGCTCTACGCAGTGACCCGCGGGAGTTGCTGTTCGCCGCGTGTTCTCGCCTTTTGCAGCACGAGCGTCCAGAACTACAAGTCCCGTGAGGAAGCGGGGCGCGCACGCTCCGAGCCGCGGGTCCGTCTCAGCACCCCCGCCCCGCCCCCCCGCGCCAGGAGGTAAGAGAGGGCGGGGGAAGGAAGAGGAGGCGGGATCCGGGCTGCGTTGGCTGCGGCCTGGCACGAAAGGGGCGGCCCCGGCGGAGAGCAGACCCACTAGCCCGGGTGATTATGGACCCGGCAGAGGCGGTGCTGCAGGAGAAAGCGCTCAAGTTTATGGTGAGGAGATGGTGCGGGCCGGGGAATGGTGGAGGCGGTGGCGTTGGCGCGTCGCCGAGCTCAGGCCTGGGTCTCCCGCTCACTGCGGGAGGGGGCGGTGGGACCTGCGGCCGAGGCCGGTGGCAAGGCGGAGGAAGGGACGGGACTGGAGCTCGGGGGAGGGTGCAGGGTGCAGAGGGACCCTGGGGTGGGGGCAGCAGCTCCGCCATCTTGTGGAGGAGAGGCCAAGTGACAGTGGGAGCTCATTCGAGGTGGGGGCTCCTGGCGGCGCGCGGGGCCCTAGAGGGAAAGGGGCGTGGGGACAGTTACTGAAGAGCGGAGGAACCAGGGTGGACAGACGCCTGTGGACGCTGGCAGGGGCCTTCCCGGTGTCAGGGTTACGGGTAAGGCCTGGGAGAGGAGGTGCATTCAGGAGTGGGGAATAGTGGGGAGCTCAGGGTAATGGCAAGACAGACACTGGGGGGGGGCAGGGAAACTGCTGGGCACTGACGGGCTTAACGGTGAGGGAGGGGAAGCCCAGGCTGGGGGAGGCAAGTAGTTTTGTAGAAGGAGCTGGGAAGATGGCCTTTGGCTAAGGGGATAAGGGTGGAATCCCAGTTGGCCAAACTAATGTTGCCAAACTCTGGAAGAGAAGAGGGAGAGGCCTTATTTAGGAAGATAAGGGCTCAGACCTAGGGCTATGGTGACAGTCCCTGAAAGGCAGTGTTGACTGTGAGCTAGGATTACAAATACCAAAAAAGAGATAAACGCTCTGCTTCACTGGGGAGGCACAATTATTTGTAGTAAGGGCAAGGTAATGAAAGACCTGTAGGTACAGGTAAATGAGGACAGATTTAATAGCCAATAGGAGAAAGCAAAGCAGAACTTAGGTCCTGAGTGGTGAGCTAGTGAAATGTGGGGGCAGGTGCTGTTTCACTTTCTGGGAGAAGAAAGGAGTAAGGAGAAGAGCTGTTAGGAATTCAAGAGAGGGTAAGGAAGGAGATAGGAAATAAGGGTTAGTGGTTACCCATGAGTTAGAGATTGAAGCACAGTGTGGGTATTGCATTTTGAGTGTGTTTAAACCCCTGAAACCTTGTTTCTTTAACTTTGTATGGGCTTTTCCTTTGCTGTGCTTGTATTTAGCAACCTCAGTTAGGTTGATATTTGATGCTTTTAATCTGATGCTTCTTGTATATCCTAGGTGTAAACCAGCCTCTGTTTACATCTAAAGATGATGGGTTGCATAGATTTTTTGTTTTGTTTTGTTTTGTTTAACAGGTGGTCTTGGGGACTCTGGTATTACTTGCAGTCACATCTTGGCTTTTCAGAAGTAATTGTAACTCATCATTCCAAATACCTTTCTTTCGTTGAATAGTTGTTTTTCATCTTTGCCTAAAATGCCATAACAAGTTAAACATAGACACTGACTCAGTTAGAATTAGGTTTTAAATTGCCCCATTCATATTTATAGAGGCTGGTCAAATTTAAGTTTTTATTTTGGGGGCTGGAGTGATGGCTCAGCAGTTAAGAGCATCACTGGTCTCCCAGCACCCACATGGTGGCTCACAGTGGTTTGTAACTCTGGTCCAGGGGCTCCACCACCCTCATGGCCTCTAAGCAAGCAGACATCAGGCACATAAGCGGTGCACAGACACATATGCAGACAAAACACACAAATAAACGAATTAATAAACATTAAATATTTTTGTATCAGTACCTTTAAAAACACCTAACTAAAGATTGTCAGTAACAAAACTCTATTAAGCCTAAAGGCATTTCTTGCATTTCTGTCTTGTGTTGACATTCTAAAAAATTAAGAGACCCTCCCCCTTGGCCTGGCGTGTGGCTTACACTTTATACCTGCAGAGGCAGGTGGATCAAGGCCAGTCTGGTCTACAAAGTGAGTTCCAGGACAGCCAGTGCTACATAGTGAGACCCTGTCTCAGAGAGGGGGGGGGGAATGAGGCAGGAGTATTGCCATGAATTTCAGGCAAGCTTGGGCTACCATGCCAGACCCTGTTTCAAATGACTGCAAAGAAGCAAACAAGCTGAGTGTGGTAGTACTATGTCTGTAGTCAAGTCAAGTCAAGGCAGCCTGGTTGACATGAAATTGTTTATGAACAAGCAAGCAAATCAGCAAAGAGACTTTTAAGTTTGGGGGAGGGAATGGAAGCAAATCAAAGTTGCTTTTATTTCTTCAGCCAGTTTTAATATATAAATCAGAAAAGTGCCCAGTTTTCTTTTCCAGTTTGGAGAGTGGGTTCTCAGTACAAATTTGACAGTCAGATTTACGGAATAATGTATGGAATACTGAGACCTGGAGATCATAAAGAGACATTATGAGATCATCCTTTTTTACTCCCCTGTAAGTCTTCGCCTAGGAGTGTTCTGAGTTACTTCACGTCTGCTGTGCGCCAGTGAGTTAGATGTTGAGAAAGGCCTCCTGATTGAGTCAAGAGCATTCGGAGATGGCTAAGTCATAGCCTGGAGCTTTGAGGGCAGCACACATTATTAAATGTTGAGTCAGTCACTGGGAGAAGCCAACGTTTTCTTTAATTTTAGTTACTTTCTTTTTGACCTCGCTGTTGTGGTTGCTTTCTGAGGAAAGGCCAGCTGGAAGAAGTTGCTAAGAAGTGATACCCCAGTAAGAGAAACAGAGCAGAGATTTACTGTCCTCTTTGAGCTCAGCCACAGCCTTATTATGAATCTGAGTAAGTCTCCACTTTCCCCTGGTGCCATTCACCCTACCATGACATGTCTGCCTGTTCAAACTCAATTTAAGATAGAGAATTTGCTTTGTTTTTGTTTTGAGAGTGCATTATCAAGTAATTAATACATAGTACAAAGTGGAAGGGTTGTTCTTTTAGTCAAACTTTACATTTTTAGTGTTTCTCCTTAGTTGCTAATGGCAACTTTGGTACAGGTTTTTTTTTTTTTTTGGACAGGGTTTCTCTGTGTAGCCCTGGCTGTTCTGGAGCTCTCTATATAGGCCAGGCTGGCCTTGAATTCACAGAAATCTGCCTGCATCCGCCTCTGCCTCCTGGAGATCTGCCTGCATCTGTATCTGCCTGCTGAGTATAGGAATTAAAGGTGTGCACCACCACATCCAGCTTTAGTTTATTAATGTAAACCTGGAATGGAATACTGTCATGAACTTACTTAATACCACATTCATGTAGTGCTTTGCTTACAATGAATTGCTATTAATGCTACTGCTAATTTTCAAGTAGACCATTCACACATGGTTTAGACTTAAAGCTTGTCCTAGGATACTTAGGAAAAGTAGTGTGAAATGATTAGCTTCTGAAAGGAGATAGATGAGAAGAAAGCATTAGTTTCGCGGAAACAGTCTGTGTGCCAGTAAAAGTATACAGCCCCAGGAAAGATAAGGCCTGAAAGATGGCCTGAGCTGTGACAATGACAGAGGAGCTAGGCCTTGTGGGTATTTAGGACTGTATGAGGGAATAAAAAGATACCAAAGGATAAATTAGTATTTAGTTTTAAAAAATAGGATAAATATAAAATTTTTCAGCCAGTCCCAAGATCAAGTGGCAAGAAGTAATTTTAAGACATTTTGTTTTAATTAAAGAGCTAGTAAGCAAAATAGCATAAAAAGGTGACCTTAGCTGAGTATGACACATACTTATATTCCTTACGTGTAGGAGGCAGAGACAGGGAGAGATCATGAGGCTAGACTTAGAGGTCAGATAGGACTTAAAAGCCTGCTTTTCCCTGTATGAACCTGTAAGTATGGTGGCTTGTGCTCCAAGGGAGGAGTATTGTAGGAATAGGAGGTAGAAACTGCTCAGTCCTCTTGTGCTGAATTTGAAGTTCAAGATAGGAAACATAAAAAAAAAAAAAAAAAAAAAAAAAAAAAAAAGCAAAGCTTAATCATGTCATTATGGTCCAGTCAAGGCTAAACTAAATCTGGGCTGGTGGGGATAGGGAGTAAGTTCTACCTATTGATGTAAAGACTAGCATTAATGAAAAGGAAGGAAAGAATTCTTGGGGGCCATCTCCTGCCATCTGCTGCCATAAATGCTATTCTAGTTGGGTGTTCAGGCTCCATGTACAAACATGGATCAGCTGAGTTTAAGGGTAATAATACAGAATGCTTGGGAGGTGTCTTTGTTTGAAATAAATTTCTCAAGAAATGAGGAGGCTCTTTTTGAGTCAAAGATAATGCAGTAGGAATGATATTGGGTATGATTTAGCAGCCCTATTTTGTGTATGTGCTTGAGATCTGCCCCCAGGTGTCCTCCTCAGGAGCCATCCATCTTGGTCTTTGAATCAAGAGTCTCTTGGAGCATGGGACTCACCTCGCCTAGTAGGGGAAGATGAATGGCTGGGAGGTGGAGGGTGTTCCCAGGGAACACACTCTGTTGCCACTTCCCAGTACTGGGATTCCAAGTTTGACCCACCACGTCAATCCTCAGGCTTAAACAGCAGTCATTGTTACCCACTGACCTATCTCTCTAGCCTCGCCTTTCTTTACTTACTGGAGAAACAGATTTTTAAAGTATACAAAAACAAATTGTATGCTGGTTTTCGTTTTGTTTGAGCCAGTGCTTTCTGTCTTGCCCAGGTGACCTGGAGCTCACAGTAGCTCATGCTGGCCTTAAGCCCAGGTGATCTTCCTTGCCTCCGCTGCCTGAGTGTTGATATTACATTGTGTGCTACCATGCATGCCAAATAAATTTCCAGAATTTATTTTATTATTTCTTCTCCTCCTCCCCCTTCCCCTCCTTCTTCCCCTCCTCCTCTTCCTTCTTCTCCTTCTCTTCTTCTTCTTTTCCTGGTGTTATTTGAGACAGGATTTCTTTGTGAGGCCTTGGCTGTCCTGAAATTTGCTGGCCTCGAGCTCTGAGATTTACCTATCTCTGCTTCCCCAATGCTGGGATTAAAGGTGTGTACTACCACCACCCAGCAAATCTCCAGAATGTCTACAATGGATTTTCTTTTTTCTTTGTTTTAAAAAGATTTTTATTTGTTTATTATGTATACAATGTTTTGGCTACATG